TCCCTGTCCTCCCCTAGGTCCGTGCCTTCCACCACGCCTTCAGCACCAACGACTGCTCGCGGAACGTCTACATCAAGAAGAACGGCTTCACGCTGCACCGCAACCCCATCGCCCAGAGCACGGACGGGGCGCGGACCAAAATCGGCTTCAGCGAGGGCCGCCACGCCTGGGAGGTGTGGTGGGAAGGCCCGCTGGGCACCGTGGCCGTCATTGGCATCGCCACGAAGCGGGCAGCCATGCAGTGCCAGGGTTACGTGGCCCTGCTGGGCAGCGACGACCAGAGTTGGGGCTGGAACCTGGTGGACAATAACTTGCTGCATAACGGGGAGGTGAACGGCAGTTTCCCCCAGTGCAATAACGCGCCCAAATACCAGGTGAGCAGGGCTTGGTGTGGGCTGGAAGCTCTGCTGTGTCTGACTGTGGCTGGCTCTCAGGTGGCTTGGCTGGCAGCTGAATTGGTCCTCGTTCTAAATGCCCACTTGAGGGTCTCTCTGCCTTCCCTGCAGAAGGCAGATAGTTCTGCCTTGTGTGGCCTTTCCCTCTTTGGTTACTGCTTCCTCTCAGTATGGTGTTCACTGTATCTGACTGTCAGTTCTTGCTCACTTTTATTTCAAATATCAAGTGCAAAGCACTTACTATGGCTGTCTCTTTAGACACCATGTTGTTTTTTGAAATAAAACCTGAAGGACTTATGGTAACCTTCTGACGTAGCGATTTGCCCCACAGCAAGGTGAATGTCTGTGGTATTTTTACCCCTTTTTTATACGACAGTGAGCTGAGGTTAGTGCTTAGGTAAGACTCTTCCTGCAAAAACCTGCAGCAGTGCTGAGTGTTGCTTGTTTGCTGGCTGGCAGCGTTCCCATAGGTGACATCCCTTGGCTGCGGTGCCAGGATGTGATGTTCAGATAATTTCAGGTTGTTAAGAAGTGCCATTCTAGCTTTTTGTCCCTATAGCCATGTTTATCTTTGTTCTTCTGGCTGCTCACACAACTACAGTTTGACTGTTGGATTTCTTCATGTTGTAACTTTGCCCGCATGCGTTACAGTTTTCATTTTATAATGCCATGGGTTTGTACAAGTACTGGTTTATGTTTCAGTTGTGGGTGAAGATCTGTGTAGTAACTTCGATATTCCTAAATTTCATGTGGAAGTTCACTGCCAAGCCCTTAATTCTGTCTCAAGGTTATACTTGCCTTTTTTTGGGAATAATACTTAAAATTAGTTTAAGCAAAGAAATTCAGATCTTTTTCCATTTGTGCGTTCCCTAGCATGCAAATTGGGCCGACACTTTCCAGACTTGACCCTTTGTGGTCATTTTCTTGTCTAGGCTTTTCTGCAACAGTGGGGAGAGGAAAGGTTTTGAAGCCAAGAGTCCCCAGCTCATGCCGGGGCTAAAGGGTGAATGCTTCCTCTGTAAAAATTGATGAGAACTCAGATTGGTGATCCTTTGGGGTATTTTGTGTTTATTAAGACATACACAGTGATCTGCTCTTAGAAAATAAAGGGAACAGATGCTTTTGAAAAAAAATGTATTGACTTGAAGAATTCCCTAGCGTTGGGGTTGTGTGATGATGGATCAGAAGCAGCAGCATCCTGCTGCGCTTGCTGCTGGTGTCCAAGGCTCCTATTTATCTCTAAAATAATATGTACTAGATAAATGCAGGGAGCACCGTGCATGCCTGGATCCCAGCCTCTTGCTGTGTTCAGCGTTGGTTTCACTTGTGCGTGTGTGTGCACGTGCATTTGTCATGCTTTTTTTGCGTAAGCTTCGTGCTGGAATTTCTTTCTGTGAGGGTGAGGGAATACCTCTGTCAGGGACAGCACCTGTGTAGTAGTGTATTCTGGTATATTTAACGTATGGCACTCACCTTTCTAAAACAAATTCAAGTGCTTTAAAATTGCTCTTCAGAGTAATTACTGCTCAGCTAGGGCAACAGCCAAATACAGAGTTCAGGTAACTTGGGAGGCTGTTACAGAGTTTCCAAAACTCTGCAGTATTCTGAAGTAGGTGGTATGTGGTGTGCTCACTCTTGGTGCTCCAGCAGGGTGGTGTGAGAAGGCTTACATGAAGGCTGCTGACTGGAAAGGGGCAGCAGAGGTACACAGGATCCTAGTGTGTTTGAGCGAAATTGAGAAACTCCTATCAATGAAATAATGAGAAATAGAAAAGCCTTACTTTAAAGTTACCTTTTTCATTGTAATGGGCTGTGCTTTGTTCTTATGTCTTCACTTGAATGTGCTCTTTTCTTAAAAAAATGTTTTATTCCCCTCTTCTGTCTCTGTTTCCAGATAGGTGAAAGAATTCGAGTTATCCTGGACATGGAAGACAAAACATTAGCGTTTGAAAGGGGTTATGAGTTCTTGGGAGTTGCCTTCAGAGGACTGCCGAAAGTTTGCCTGTATCCAGCAGTGTCTGCTGTCTATGGTAACACAGAAGTGACATTGGTCTACCTGGGAAAACCTCTGGATGGATGACATGGATTGTTTCATTGGGACATCAAGATGTGGATGAATGGGAGGAGAAATCTGCATGTTGGTTAGAGGGAAACTTGTATTAGAGGAAAAACAAAAAAAATGTGTATGTGTGTGTGTTCAAGAACCATCAAGGAAAGCACACGGAGTTTTGAAATGGAGGACCAGCCATACTTCAGGAACTGTGTTACATTTCCTCTTTCTACCAGGCCAGAAAAATCCTCAGGGTTGCAGTGGGAAGCTGACACATGCATGTTGCAACAGATTTTATTGCTCAAATGGCAGCGTGTGACCTCAAATATTTAAGAAAAAAACTGCTTGAGGAAAGTAACCTGAGATGTGTAAGTAGCGTGTTTTGTGAAAGACTCCCATTTTAAAACTGCTTGTTCCTTCCCTTCCCTCCTTTGGGCCAATGTGGGTACTGGAGGAGAGCAAGTCTGGTTGAGTTTTATTTACAATTTTTAACGTACTGAAAAGGATGGTCTGTCTGGACTGCCCTTCTCTAGTATAATGATACAAAATGCGTGCAGCTATTTTTAAGTGTATTTTAAGGGTTGTATATATATAGAACACATTGAAAAGAACAGTTAAAAGAAAGGGTTTGCTTTAGTCTAACTGGGACGTAATTTCTTAAAGGGAAAAAACCCTTACTACATGGCATCAGAAAACATACCTTGGACAGATGTGTAACGTTCATCTAAGTGTACTACTTCTGTTGTGGTGTAAAGCATTTTGGGATGCTCTTGTGGAGTACGGTGCTACATTGGGTCATTTCCTGTGAAAGTTTCCATAGCTTTAGCAACAGTTTTTTGTTTTTTTTCTTTGTAGAAAACACAAAGTATTTTCCTCATGAATTTCCTTTTGCCAAAATTTGTGGTCCCGTTTAGGAGAGGAAGCTGCAACACAGCAGTGAGCTTTTCTTCCTTTCGACATCAGAAATATTATCTTTTAAAAATATTCTTACACTTCCTAGTCACTGTTGCAAAATTTTTTAGAAGAGGAAGGAGCATTCAGATTCTGAATCCAAACCTCGTTTTCCACTTAAATGGCTTTTTAAAGGCTTTAAGACTTGGCTGAACTTTTCTTTAATTAAATTTCCCCACTATCTAAGCGTTCACCTGCCGGTTTTCAGTCAGGATGAGTAAAACTCTCACTAACCCTTTGATGGAGATTCTGGATCAGTTTCAATGTTTGGGCTTTTTGCTTTCACCAGTTTTCTAAAAAAACATTTATAAACCCCTCTAGTGTGTCAGTGTTCTGGCATACACAGGCTGGGGGTGGCTGTGAGGCTGAGGTGTATAGTGAGGAGGGACTTTCTGGTGAAACTGCTTTGCTCTGAGGTTGAAAGCTCTGTAGGGAGCCCCAGAAGGGCTGCTTCTAATAGGGCATTTAAAATCTACAAGCCCTGCGGCTAGCTCTTGACTCTCGTTTCTCGCTGGTTGGCGTTTCCCAGAGCTGTCTGAACTGTATCAGAGTTGGGCTTGCTTTTCAGAGAGGAAGAAGGAAATGTTTATACAACTTCTTCTTGCTTTATTTGCGTTACAGAATGTGAATTGATTAATATCGGACACTGACAGTTCTCTGAAAGGAATTCCTCTTGGGCTGTTACTCATCCCTCCATTACTTTAGTAATGCAGGGAGAGAGGTGCACGCAGGTGAGTGAGTCTGCTGCTGACGAGCTATCCCGGGAGTGCTTTTCACCTGGTAGATAACCAAGTTCTGCACTGGAACGGTGTATGCACGTCGTTACCGTTTAAAAGAATTTAAAAGTATTTATTTGTTTTGTGTGTTGTTTATTGCTTAAAGGCAATATTGAGATCTGTTCCTCATGGTTGCGTTAAACAAAACATGCAGTGAGAAATGAAGATGTTTTAAGTGGTGCTGAGAACAACTGAATAAATTAAGTGGGATGGGCGTATGAGTACCTTTTGGAAAAATCTGTTACAAACAGTGATTGTACTAGACTGTAAAGTATGTATCTGCATAGCAGAACTGTGGGGCATGAAATAGGGAAAAAAGGAAACAAAACCCTGTCCAGTGTCAGAAAATAAAATTGTCCCCAAGATGAATGTATTCTCAGTGCAGTCCTGAAAGATTTGACCTCTGCGCTTGTTCGTGAATCCAATTAGATGCAAGTAAACCCTGAGAACTTCAGAAGAATTTTATTCGCAAATTGATTTCCATTCTTCAGACTGCGTCTTACCGTATAAATAATGTCCCTCTAAATTAGAAATGTTGAAAGTTGAACATTCCTTAAGGGTGGGTTTGGGGAGACTCACTTATGTAAGATTATAACTTATTCCTGGAGACCAATGCTGGCTGTACAAAATATTAAAATAAACTACTATAATTCAGAAGGTTATATTGGTGTGGATTGTTGTAATGACATCCGTGGTGTCGTGATAGGAGAAATGGGAGTAGCAGTTTGGTGCACCAGGAACATGGAGATGTTGGGATTGTGATTTGAAGAGAGAATCTGATAGGTGGTTTATGAGGACTTGAAAAACTAGTGGTCTAATGGCCATGCTTGAGAAGTTGCATCCTCAGAGGCTAGCAGAAGGCTTTCCTGGACCAGTGGAGGGTGTGCTCATTGCTGTGGCTGTCCTGTTGTACCAAGGTGCCTCTGTCCCATGTCAGCTTCTCAGCCTCTCTCCGTTTTTTTCGCTTTCCTTGTGGAAGTTCACTATATCACAGTGCTTTTAGGAAGAGGTAGGAGACTGTTGTGGTTGTGACGTCTCAAGCACATTTCCAAACTCTCTGTGTCAAGAATTTGCTTTTAAGCAGTGATCTTTTGGCTAAAATCTCTGTGAGCTTCTTCAGGAGTGAAGAGGTTTGATGCTGGCTTGACAAAAATGTAGAATAATTTTTTTCTAGCCTGAGGTATTTCAGAGTTGGCTAAATAGCTCTTTGAAGTATTTTTCCTACCCAGAGATTAACTGCTTTGGTCAGAAGGAACATGAACTGCTGATAGCTCCCATAACGAAAATAAGTCGGATTCACGGGTCTTGGTTTCAGAATCCTCCAGGACAAGCAGATTTATTTTTTTTTTGTAAGTGTCATTTGAATAAAACTCAGAATTTCTAGTGGTTTAAGTATGCTGTGAAATCTGCTGGTCATCTGATCTGTTCACATTTCCGTGAAGAAGTGAAGAGCCCTGTGTGGTCATTTGTTTCAGAGCAGAGTGTTCTTGGCTTTGATGGTGGCTTGTGTTGGCCTGAAGTCAGTTGCGTGACTTATTCTGTAAGAGGACAGAGGCATTGCTGGAATGAACTAATAAATCAAGATAGCATGGGAAACTCACCCTTGTAGGGATGTTTTCTTGAAAATGTTTTTTTTCCACACTTAAAATGCAATGGTGAGTGTGTGTTTTGAGAGTTCTGTGTGTGCCTTCTACTAGCAATCACCATTTGCTTTTATTACTTTTGGCCATGTTTCAGGTGACAAAACTGGCCAGGAGTAGATGGCCTTGATTCTGTGGCCTGAGCTTCTGCTGCCTCAGATGCGGCTGGATTCTTCTCTGCCTGCCCCTGAATCCGATAGCAAGCTGGAACACATTAGCTTGTCTCTCTGCTAACCGATGATCCACATTTTTAAATTTTTTTAACACATGGGTGTGTTTTCCAGATGGCTGACTCAAATTTTTTTTCTTTCCCTCTTCCATTTTCACTGGAATGATGACAACAGTGATGAATTAAAATATTAAAATAATAGTTTGATCATTCAAAACTTATTTTCTGTTAAGTATTCGAGTGGTAGCCAGCCCTCAGTGATTTCTCATCCTGTGCATTTCAATATTGATATTTCAGTTCTAGCTAAATCTTTGCATACCATAAATAGCTCTGGACCCTGGCAGGAAT